TCAGCCCAGCATTCCAGGATATCCCTCTCACAATCGGAACCGCTGGCTCCTAACGGTTTGCCTGCCTGTTCGCCCCTAACCACTCTCCCTGCCTGCCAGATCGCCCCTAACCGCCTCTGCCTTGGCCCCCGCCACCATGGCTTCGTCAGGAAGGATGGTCGGAATGATATTCGGAAGGCCGTTCAGCTGTCCAGTCTAATTAGCATATTATGCTTTTTATTATTATAGATCATTATGTAATAGTTACTGTTCTTGTTATTATCATGGCCTCCACGGTGCAAAGTGCTTTGCACACGTCCCTTCACTTGATGTTCCTACAACTGTATGAAGTGGGTATTATTACTCCATTTTATAGCTGAGAGCATGAAGGCTTAGGGGAATGAACTACTTAGTTTCCCGACTTCTAAGTCTGAGCTTTTACGCACTACTCTACGTTGCAGATTTGTCTCTGGAAGGAACAACTCTGACTGCACGGATTCTAAGAGAATTACAACTAGGGGCGTCTAGAGATGACCAAAGCCAGCTTCCTCCTCAGCCTGATGGGACACTGGGGGATGGAGGGAGTAGGGCTGGGACCAGAACCCAGCTTCCTGACTCCTGACCACTATTCTCACACAAACGACATGAGCTTCTCACTTTCCTCCCCCAGGGGGTCAGGGCGACACGCACTGTCTCATTTAATCCCCATGACAACCCTAAGAGACGCGGTTTATCCTCATTTTAAATATGACAGAACTGATGTGTCCAAAAGTTATTATCTTGCCCAAGGTCCTGGACGCTAAATGTCAGTCAGCATTTGAAAGGAAAACTCTATTGGGAAGCTTGTGCTCTTGACTCCTACTCTACCTGCCTGGGGGAGGGTAGTGCTCACCCAGGTGGGGACTTCACAAGGTAGAGTGTCTGTGTGTTGGGGGCCCCAGTGCATTCCCACATCCCTAGACCAGCCCCCACCTCCCCAGGCTGCACCTGGAGGCCTGGCCTGCTCACTCACGCATGTGCAAAGAGCTCTCTGCTCTTCTCCAGCATGTGTCTCCAGGGGATGCTACGTGTTCTGCATGCCCAAGGCCCTTGCCGAGAGCATCCAACTGCCAGGGACCACTCCCTGAGGTCCTCAGTGAGGAACAAAGCACTTTGCCTGGAGGCAGAGACGGAGGAGGGGAGAGCCAGCAGGAAGCCAGGGACAGGAAGAGTGATCTGTTCCCTAATCTGACCAAAAGGCCAAGACACCTTCAGGCTAGGGAGACAGGGGTTTTCAGGAAAGGAGAAGAAATGGTCCTGGGACCCTCTAAGCCACCCACAGTCCAGGATGGTTGGCCTTTCTTGTCTGTCACCCCCAAACCAAAGGGAGTGGTCTATTCAAGCCTGCTGCAATGGTTAATTTTATGCATCAGTTTGACTGGGCCTATTTCTGGGTGTGTCTGAGGATGTTTCTGGAAGAGATTAGGGCAAGACATAGTTGAAGCAAAAGGAAAAAAAAAGAGCAAACGACTTCAGAACAAAGGAGGAAAGCTCCAGATGAAGTATAAAGCACAATAAATCTTTGTGGAATAAACATTTATTCCAGAAGCAGGGCCTGGGAGCACTGAGGAGTTGCTGATCATCCCTCCACAGCCCCCTCCTCTGCTTTTCCAGTTAAAAATCTGGCCCGGCTGGTGTGGCTCAGTGGTTAAGGGTCAACCCATGAATCAGGAGGTCATGGTTCGATTCCCAGTCAAGACACATGCCCGGGTTGCGGGATTGATCCCCAGTGTGGGGCGTGCAGGAGGCATCCAATCAATGATTCTCTCTCATCGTTGATGTTTCTCTCTCTCTCTCCCTCCCCCTTCCTCTCTGAAATCAATAAAAATACAAAATAAAGTAAAATAAAAATCTGACTTGGAAAGTGGACCCTGGATTCCCATGGAAGCTTTGAGCTAAGAGGCGCCCTGGCCTCTGAGACTATGCGGTTTTAAACGTTGTCTCCTGAAACACTGACGTGTCAGAAGAGTGTCTGGGGCCACAGAGGACGGATCTAGGTACCACTCCCTCCCACCGCCCTACAAAGGAAAATCTCGCCTTTTCATTGTCTTATTAGATTAAAACGGTGGGCCTCAACCACCCCCCCCCCCCCCCCCACCAGGGGACATTCAGAAATGTCTGAAGACACGCTTGGTTGCCACAACTTGGGGAAGTGCTCCTGGCATCCAGTGAGTAGGGGCCCAGGATGTTGCTAAACACCCGGCAGGACAGCCCCCCACAATGTCCACCCCGAGGTCAATAGGGCTGAGGTTGAGAAACCCTGGGCTAAACCCTAGGACACAGCCCACCGTTGACATTTTTGACTTACAAAAGCAGCGATTTCCCCTGGTTCGTCCTGGGTTTGTATCGATGTCCCTTTAAGAGAGGGTTCCTTCCAAAGTGTTTTCTTCCTCATTGCAAACTAGTCATCACATCCACACCCCCCACGGCACAGATGGCGAGAGTGTGGTCCAGAGAGGATAAGGGGATTCCCAAGGTCATACAGCAAGTCAGCTGGGTCCGGAGTGGAACACGGGCCCCTGAACCCTGGTCCACCCTCCCTGTCAACACAGAAGCCTGACCTCCGCCCCGGCTCGGTTCTCCAGCTGCGGGAAATGGCTTCTTCCCAGTGTGCTGCTTGGATGCCGGGCCCCAGGAGTTGTTCCAGAAAGAGAGCCTGCTTCCCACCAAAAACCTGGGCTGACATTCATCCAGAACTCAAAAGAAAATCTGTCCGATTAAAAAGAAGAAAAAAAAAACTGTATCCCCAAACAGCCATGCAAAGCGAGGCCAGCTGCTGGGGACGCAGTGAGATGAATACCCACTCAGGCTGACGGAGGGAGAACAGGCCTCGGAGAAGCACCCAGGGAATGGCAAGGCTTTCCGCTCGAGGAACAATAGCTCTGCCTCAGATGGACAAGAAGCTGTTCACTCTGAAAGAATGAGCCCGCTGCCATCCCATAATAATGCCGGGTCGGGGGCCCTCCGGGAGCCCAGGGGAACGTGTTCTCCAAGAAAAGTGAAATTGTGATGACACGGCCACTTCCAGGGCCTGGGGACTCCCAGCCCACAGCAGAGCTCCCTGCTTGTCCGAGTCGGGCAGGCCCTTGGAGATGGGCCAGGGGCCCCGTGAGGCAGATTGGGGGTCAGGAGCAAGAGTCCGGCCTGCCCACACTCTGCAGCCAGGAGCGGGCGCTGGTGGCAGGTGACACGCCACCTTGAACTCAACACGCATGCACTCACGTTGGTACTGGGGCGCTTAAATCCCACCCACCCCATGCCTTGCCCAAGTTCCATTTAAACCAGTGATTCCCAAAGTGGGCGCTACCGCCCCCTGGTGGGCGCTGCAACGATCCAGGGGGGCAGTGATGGCCACAGGTGCATTTGTTTTAACTTTTTTTGTATTACCTTTCTATTCTGAGTTCAATAAATAGTTTCATAATTTCAAACTTCAATGTTTCTAATTTACACCTTTCTTTACTATATTTTACGAAAAAGGTAGAAACATTAATACATATATCTTTCTGTTTAATTGCTATTAAAATTTTAAAAAAATTAATTTCCAGGGGGCGCTGAGTAATATTTTTTCTGGAAAGGGGGCAGTAGGCCAAATAAGTTTGGGAACCACTGATTTAAACGCTCTTCTGACAAGTGCACCCGTAAGGCACTCATCTAGTCTCATATCCTCATTGAATGATGGGGAAACTGAGGCACAAAAAGGGGAGGGGAAGAGCTTCTGACCTCTCCCATTTCCCACATGGTGGGGGGTGGGGTGGGGGAATGGAGAGTCAGCAAGCAAACACCTTGTGAGCATCCTAGTCAAATATTAAAAAAAAAAAAAAAAAAAAGTTTCAGGCCCTGCCCGAATAGCTCCGTTGGTTAGATCCGTGGTCGGCAAACCGCGCCTTGGAAGCCACATGCGGCTCTTTGGCCCCTTGAGTGTGGCCATGAAGTTTCAATCGCACTGTACTCGCGTGCCTGCACGTGGTATTTTGTGGAAGAGCCACACTCAAGGGGCCGCAGTTTGCCAACCACTGGGTTAGATCATCGCTGGGATACACCAAAGTATCAGGTTCGATCCCCAGTCAGGACACATACAAGAATCAACCCTTCTCTTCTTCTCTCTCTCTAAAAATCAATCAATAAAATTAAAAAAAATAAATTAAAAGGTTTACTATGAAGGTAAAACAAACCCCCACACAAACAAAATACACAAAGCTGCCGACCACAGAGTTTGGGAGGCAGATTCCCCATCCTCAGCGAGGAAGCCTTCCTCTCACAAAATGCACCGGAGCCTCAGCTCTGGCCTCTCCACATCTCCTGCTTCCTGAGGCTTCAGTGATTCCCCCTGGTGCCTGCGCTGAGCGCCCGCCCACAACCCTGCAGCCCTGGCATCAGCTTCCCTCTGACAGTTTCCATGGCGAACGCTCCCACCTCCCATTTCACATGCAGGATGCAGGCCAACCCAAGGGCTCCCAAAAATGATCTTTCTGACCCCACTAATGTCGATCCTCTTTTCCTCTTATAAATCAATCGATTTTATTTTCATTTCAAGCGTTACAATGACACGGCAGCTGTGCTGGGATGGCCTTTGTGTTAGCACATGGCTTCAACGGCCAGCTTTAGCCCAAATTCCTCATCCTTCCTTTCCACAGAGAATGCCTGGAGCCTTGGCGAGGACTGGGATGAAGCTGGGGGGGCAGGGGGGCCAGGGGCGGGAGGAGTTGGCTCTCAAATGAAGCCCTTCCCCTTTGATCTCGGCCTTTCTGATTGCGCCTCTGACTGCTGAGCCCTGCTTTGATCTGTCACCTGCCAGAAGCCACCAGAGATCTCCCACATCCCCTGCTCCGTTTAGAATGAAACGGAAATTCCACCACATGGTAGGCTAGGGCGGCCAGGGCCACGGAGTGAGAGGCGTGGACATCCTCTCTCTCTCCTGGTAACTGGACACTCTGGGAGGCTAGGATCAGTGGGGCACAGATGGGCAGTAGACATTTTCTTACATGCTGCCTGCTGTCCAGTCGGCCAAGCCCCCAGCAGGGCTCTTCTCCAGCCTCAGGTGGGACGTGATGGCACAACTTCTTCAGGGACCACCAGGCCTGAGCTCCTGAGGACCTGCCCATAGAAGACGACACCAAGATGAATGCAAGAAGAGATCACTCTGGTTCCTTCTCTCAAGTCCTGACCAACATTCTGTGAAATCATTGTTGACTCAAACCTTCCCCAAAAGATGTTCACAATGGAGTAGGGTTTATCAGAGGTATAAGCCACAGCTGTCCGAGTCCTGGGCCTGGGGAGGTATGAAGGGCACTCAGAGGACACAAAAGTGTGGTCCTTGCCAGATACACCCTGATACGCCTTGATTGACAGGAAAACACGGAGCAGCCTATGAATGTCCAGCTCCTCCCGGTGCCTGAAATGCCATTGGTGATTTCTTCTTTACAACTCAGATGCCTCGGAGGAGGGTAAGGGGTGGGAAATCTTTTGATGCTTTAAACATGCTATCTCATTTCATCATTGCAACAACAGTCCCAGGACATATTAACGACTCCACATGACCTATGAGGACATTGAAGCTCAGAGAAGTTAAACCCCTCATCCAAGTTCACAGAGGAAGACAGTGACAGACGGGGGCTGAATTCAGGCCTGTCTGCGGACTGTTGCAGAGGGCTGATGTTGGGCCCTCTGAGTCCCTGGGTCCCGGAAAGAAGCCTGGGCTGTCCAAGACAGCGTCTCCCTCAGATCATCCCTGTTTCCTGGAAAGAGCATTTGAGGAGAGGGACGTTGATTGATGTGGGTTGTAAGAATACTTATTTGTCTGTAATTACTCCTTGAATTCCAGCCAAAATGGGCCCCGCTGAGCTGCAGCTGTGCAAAATGTCTGGATTCTCCCACACAGAGGAGTTGGGAGTGGGGTGGTCAGAAAAGGAGCTAACCGGGGGCAGAAAGATATCTCCATGCAATAAATATTTACTGAATCCGACTTCACACCAGACCTTGGCAGGGAAGGGAGAGGAAAGGCATGAAGTTGAACCAAAATGCAGTTTCTTTAGAGGCCCGGTGCACGACATTCGTGCACTTGATGAAGGGGGAGGGGTCCCCTCAGCCCGGCCTGCGCCCTTTAGCAGTCCAGGAGCCCTCAGGGGATGTCTGACTGATGGCTTAGGCCAACTTGGGCCTAAGCCACCAGTCAGACATCCTTAACGCTTCCATGGAGGCGGGAGAGGCTCCCACCACCGCCTCTGTGCTTACCAGCCATTAGCCGGGCCTGTGGCTGAGTGGTGCTCCCTCCTGTGGGAGTGCACTGACCACCAGGGGCAGCTCATGCATTGAGCATCTGCCCTCTGGTGGGCAGTGCACGTCATAGCGACCAGTCGTTCTGCAGCTTGGTTGACTTGCATATTACCCTTCTATTATATAGGATTATAGGTATACTTAAAGATGCTACAATAAAATAAAAAGAGTGGCTTCTTGCTTTGAGGGAAATAACAGACAAATGAACCAAAGCCAGCAGCATACTTAAGGTGTGCTGGGGGAGCCAGCAGAGACTTCCCAAAGAGGTGACTGTGAAGCTAGGTCTTGCAGGCTAGGTAATGTGGGGCTGTCCATCAGGTGGACGAGAAGCCGAGAATTGGAGAGGCAGTCCAGTAGGGGCGTGCAGAAGGCAGCCGATCAATGTTTCTCTCACACATCAATGTTTCTCTCTTCCTCCCCACTTTCTTCCCATCCTCCCCCCTCCCTCTCCCTTCCTCTTCCTCTAAAACCAATAAAAATGGGTCTTGCAGGCTAGGTAATGTGGGGCTGTCCATCAGGTGGACGAGAAGCCGAGAATTGGAGAGGCAGTCCAGTAGGGGTGTGCAGAAGGCAGCCGATCAATGTTTCTCTCACACATCAATGTTTCTCTCTTCCTCCCCACTTTCTTCCCATCCTCCCCCCTCCCTCTCCCTTCCTCTTTCTCTAAAACCAATAAAAACATATTTTTTAAAGTCCATCAGTCTGGATGAGGAGAAATGATTGCTGTAAATACTTTAAAGCCTCTGCAACAGAAATGGAACGCCACCTACCCATTTCCTGGGCTCCAAAATACAGCTGCTCTGCTGCATACCCTCCATGTGCCACCTTGTGGAATCCCCACGACACAATGAGAGGGCTACTGCTGTCCTTTACAGATAAGGAAACTGGGGTCGTGAGAAGCTCGGTACCCCACCGGAAGTCACACAGCAGCAGGAAGGGGTAAAGTCGGGATCTGAACCCAGGGCTGACTCGTGGGTTATTTTACTGCATGGCTACTCTGCCTTTCAGCCCTATAAATGCATTTCATCTGGTTCTCTACCCAAACTTTGAAGGTGGCAAAACTAGGGGTCAGAGATGGTCAGGGACTCACCCCAAACCACACAGAGAGCTAAAGGCAGAATCAGGCCAGAAGCCAGGAATCCTGGCCACCAGCCAGCCAGCCAGGGCTTGGTCCAGAAAGCCTGCTCTGCTCTGGCCGAACTGCCGCCAAGCAGCGCCTTCTCTGACTCAGACCAGTGCTTATGGGGCTGCCAAAGGGAAGGATGTGCAAACCGTGGAGTCACTGAGTCCAGAGCCTGAAACCACAGGAGCATCTAAAGTTTCCATAGCTTCTAAACACGAACTCTACCTACCAAGGTGGCAGGGATGCCTCAGTTTCCCTTGTTACCTGCACAGCATCCTCTGAGCTCAGCTCCCAGGCCTTGCAGCAGCTTCCTGGCTTCTCCCAGAAGGGGAGGAAAGCTTATCCCCCTGGGCCTGGCTGTCGGCATGCTAGAGTTAGACAGTGGAGCAGGATCAGGCAGCCAGGGTCCCGGATCCTCCATGAAGTCATCCCCTTGCTATCGTCAGTGTCAGTTGCCTAGCAACTGCCTTTGGCAGATGGTGGCACGGAGAGCGTGCCAATCTCTCCCACAGCTAAAAATACATCCCGACGACAACCGGTCTATTTTAAAAAGACACAATGCATCCCGATGTCTTCCCTTGTCTGCGAGGGACTGTGCTGGGCCGGGTCTCTTTGGGCTTCTGATTTCGTCCGACAAGTGGAAAGGGAGCATTTCAGGAAAGGGACACAAGGCCAGGCTCTATGGTGGTGCTTAGAAAATTGTCATAGAGGAGGAGGCCGGGAAGGGAAGATGAGGAGAGGGAAGACAGATCGAGCTTGGAAGTAAATATCGAGTAGTCGGCAGCAAACCCTTTAATTTGGCCATATTTTTAAACCTACTCGGGAAGGTGAGGTTAGAAAGCAAAATCATTGATGCGCAGAAGCCTGGAGCTAGAAGGGACCCAATCCCACTTGCTGGTCAGGAAAGCAGGGGCCCTGAAGGGTGAGGGGAAGAGCTGGCTGTTTGCCCTTGTTCAGGGTGCAAGGGCTGGGGTTCCCAGGTGTGGGCATGAGGCCTCCGGCCCCCTCGCTCCTCTTGCATTTCTGTCAGCAAGGTTGTCTCACATCACCTCCCCAGCTTAGCCTTTCCATTTAATCACCATCATTTGCAGGTTCCATTGGTACAAAGGGAGGAGTGAGTCCGTTCATGTGTGCATTTAGCCGTTCATTTCTTCACCAAATATTCATTAAACACCTACTACCACACTGTGCCCACACTGGAGATACAGCGGGGGACAAATGTACACGGTGCCCACCTCCTGTAGTGTATGGTCCAGCAGGTGAGGTGGGGAGTGAGAGAGAGACACTGGAGCCGGATCTAGGATGAGGCCTACTTACCAGCTCTATAACCAACTTAATTAGGGTTGCAAGATAAAATACAAGAGGCCCAGTGAAATCTGAATTTCAGATGAACACAAGTTTTTTCAGATATAAGTACGTCCCCAGTATTAGCTGAGGCTCCAATTTAGCTGCGCCTCCTGTATTTTTATTTGCTAAATCTGGCAACCCTGCACTTAATATCACTGTTGTTCAGTTTCCTCATCTCTAAAATGGGGGAAAATAGCATTTACTCACAGGGGTTATTTTGTGGATTAAATGAGAAAGTATATATCCTATATAATAAAAGCCCAGCGACCTAAGGGCAGAACGACCAGAACGACCAGTCGCTATGTCACACACTGACCACCGCAGAACGACCAGAACGACCAGTCAACCAGTCGCTATGTCACACACTGACCACCAGGGCAGCTCCAGCATTGAGTGTCTGCCCCCTGGTGGTCAGTGCGCTCCCACAGCAGGAGCAGCCACTCAGAGGGCAGGTCCACAACCACTCAGCTGACTGGGATGAGCAGTGCTCCCACAGCGGGCCAATCCCTGCAGGCCACACACCCCCAGTGCACGAATCCCGTGCACCGGGCCTCTAGTATATGTATATAAATCTGCAACTGGCAGCTGAATGTTTTCCTCTCCTCTCCAAGCAGGGCTTCTCTGGGGTTTTGCCCCACCCAGCATGTGAGCCCCGCCCTCCTCCCCACCAGGGTCTGGTTAACGGGTGATGGAGGGGGGTAGCCCTGCTCTGACTAAAGCCCAAGCCAGAGGATGAGGGGACTCTGCAAGCTGACAACTGATTTGCCAAAGGAAATAGGAACCAACCCAACTTTGCTTGGAGTGCTGGTCAGGGCAGCCATTCTCTGCTGCCTTGGGTGCTTGTTAAACATATTGATGCCAGGGTTCTCCCCACGACTTACAGAACCAGAATGTCTAGGGAAGGATGCGCCTTTTAAACAAAATCCCTTTTAAATAAAATAAAAAAACCTAATTCTCAAAGGTTTGAGAACCCCTTCGGGGAGGGATGGCTGTCTCTGCAGAGGCATGATCTCCAACGCCTGCTCTGCAATGTGGGATCCTGGCCTGGATCCTGGAACCGAAAAAGGATGTCAGTGGGGAACTGAATGAAATCCGGAAAACATCAGTAGTTTCGTTAATGGCGCTGTACCCATGCTAATTTCTTGGTTTTGATCATTGTACCGAGGTTACGTAAGATGTTAACATTGGGGAAAGCTCAGTGAAGGGTATATGGGAACGCTCTGTTCTATTGTCAGAACTCTGGTGTAAACCTCAAATGATTCCCAAATTAAAAAAAAAAAAAAGTTGCTTCGGTCTGAAGCCTGCCTGGGGCCTTTCCCCAGCCCCCTGTGCTTCAGAAGGCCCAGCACGC